GCCTTCCTGCCTGCCTTCCTGCCTGCCTGCCTGCCTTCCTGCCTGCCTTCCTGCCTGCCTGCCTTCCTTCCTGCCTTCCTGCCTTCCTTCCTGCCTTCCTGCCTTCCTTCCTGCCTTCCTGCCTTCCTTCCTGCCTTCCTTCCTTCCTGCCTGCCTGCCTTCCTGCCTTCCTTCCTGCCTTCCTTCCTGCCTTCCTTCCTGCCTTCCTGCCTGCCTGCCTGCCTGCCTGCCTGCCTCCCTGCCTCCCTGCCTCCCTGCCTGCCTCCCTGCCTCCCTGCCTCCCTGCCTCCCTGCCTCCCTGCCTCCCTGCGTCCTTCATTTTTTGGCCTGTAGGTCTCACCCTTGCATTTTGCCAGTGAAAAAACCCATGGAAACAGCAAAATTCTAGCAATTCTAAACCCCAGTAAAGGATCCCAAGCCAGAAGACTGAAAAGTCAATTATGGACTTAGGCAAGCTCATAACTGGGAGGTTTGGTGGAGCCTGCTGTCAACCTCACGTCTCAGCACAGAACCTGCTGTGTGACCTCCCTTTCCCATTTGCAGCCACTGCTCTTTCCAAGACAGATAAGCAAATGCTATTTATTTATTACTGAGCTAATATAATTTTTTTTTATACTGCAGTCAGGCTGCAGGAGAGTATAGGACTAGCAAGAAGGAAAGAAAAGATCATTGGTTGGCTATGAAATAAGGCTTTCAATAACAATCAGAGCAGATTAGATTAGAAGCATGGAAAATACTGGTCTTGTCAGTTTTTCTGTGTTGATTTTCACTTGCTTTCTATTTTTCCAAATGCTATATTTGTTTTCCCAAAGTCTCATACTGGAAAGTAAAAATGGGAAAATATGTGGTCCAGTCACTACTGAGATTGTATATATGTGTATGTATGTATATATATATATATATATATATGTATGTATATATAAAATATATGAAAACACATATACACATTATGTACACACATGTATACACAAAATATATGTGTATAAATATATACACATATTTGATGTCTATACATACATATGTGTGCATACGTGATGAACTACGTGTTTACATGAACTTCTAGTTCACAAACTTGGCATTTCCCCCCAGTAATCTTCTGGACAAGTGTGGGAAAAGAACGGAGAACTTGTCCAAAATAGGGTTATTCTAGAGCAGTCTGTAGAGATAAAATTAATATATGGGCAGTTTAAGTAGAAAAGGTAGAGTAGAAGAAAAGATCTGAAAATGTTCATTTAATCCTCCTCTGCTTTTACTTCTCCTTTTCTTTATTCAGGTAAGAGAAATATAATTTCATCTGTCTACATAGTCCTGGCACAGATACTATGGCCTTATAATCTTGCAACTTTAGCTACAGGAAATAAGAATTTTATGTTGTGGACAGCACAAACTGATTTGGATATATGCAGGAGCCCTGCTGGTGTCAGGCTCGTAGCCCAGCCCTGGATGTGTGAGGAACGGCTGAGCATGGCAGATGGGCTGCAGAGGTGCCAACAGCAACCACCAGCACTCTCAGTACGTGGGAAGAAGCAGAATTACACAGGAGCAGGGGTCTATTTTTGCAGGGGTGAGGGATCCACACATCCTTCAGCAGAGCAAAACACAGCCCTTTATATCTCTCAACTGTGGTGGGAGGATCATCAGTACCAGCTGAGAGTGCTGGCTCGGTGATGGGGTTCTCCTGGTAGGATGAAATTGTCAGAGGGTAATACATGGGAAGCCTAATCAGCATTCAGCCATGCACAAGCAAAAGACTGTTTTAAAAGAAGGAGTGATCTGGCCAGTATTTTATGCTTTCATTCTCCACATTCTGTCAATTTATTTTCAAAGGAATTCCCACCTTTCACTTACTGAGTTATATTGATGAGGTGGTATTTGTACATGAGGATATTGCCCAGGACCACTCTGAGCCATAGAGGAACCACTGCATATGTAAAAGTGATGAGATCAAGCTGTTGTTTAGAAGAAGTAAAAAGAATAATAAATAAATAAAATAATAAAAATTTAAAAAATTAAATAATAGAATAAAACATAAAATATCATAAATATTTTAAAAACAAAACTAAATTAAAATAGCTGTGCTCTTGTTGGGGATGACAGATCTCCCGAAAAACAGGAGTCAAAAAACTGAGTTCACTGACAACCTGGACAAAGACTAAAATTTCTCTAAGATCAGGAAGGAAAAGAGTGATATAATATATCCAGGTTTTCAACACTGAAGAACAGGAAAATGCTGTGGAAAGGGAGTAGAACAGTTAAATTTTCCTTCTGCTACCATCCATTTCCATGACACCAAACAAGAAAAGCAACAAACCTACTAAAAATATGGAAAAGATCTGATATACCTCTTCAGTGTCAAAGATATCATAGATGCTGCTTAGATGATTTCCAGTGACTGCCAATTTCAAGGCACTGCTCCACTGAAGTGTCCAGTATTGTACTGGAAGTGAGGAACAGCAGCTGAGTTCTTTCCTAATAGCATAAATTATCAGCTTCTTTCATAATCTGTTTGACTTCACAGCAGTCAGATGGACATTTTTTTTCCCATTCTTTTTAAAAATACATCAATTCCAAGTCTGAACACATATCAACACATTTGGTATTGGCATAATAATAGAAGTGGCTGAGAGCTAAAAATGAAAGAGCTCAGGACAGAAACAAAACCATGAACATTTGTGGGAAAGGACATCACACTCATGCTGTCAGTGTAAACTTGGATTAATTTGGTTTCAATAGCTTTGCCATGGTAAACTTAAATTAGCTGGCTCTGAGGCAGGGGTCAGGCTTACTTGAAGTGACATGAGAAAAAATCTGTGAGAAGAACTGAATTTCTGGTATTGAATTTGCCTCCTTCTCTAGAACAAAAACTGGAGTTTTTTCCCTCCGCTGGCCACAGTAGACAGCATTACTAAAACCACAGCAGCTTTACTGGTAGCACAGAAGGAAACTGAGAGGCAAACTGCACCGTACATTATGGGAAAAGGATGACACAGAAGAAACTTGTGAAAGAGCACGTTCTCCTGTTGGTCTGAAAGTGCTTTTTTGGCTTTGCATTTTTTATTCACCTTTATCTTCTTTCTAGAGAAAAACACGTGGCAGTAGTGTGGAAAAATGAGTGATGATGTCAGAACTGGCTTATGAAACAGCTTTGTGTCTTTACAATGAACAGGTATTAGAACGGATTTTGTTTTGTCTCATTTTCTTTCTGATACCTCACCTCTCTCTCCCCATTAAATTTCTCTATTTGCTCTCCTTTATATAATAATAAATACACCTATTTTTTCTCTGATTATATTTTTTAATTCTCTCTTAGTTCCTCTTCATCCAAAGTTTCCCAACACTTGAAGGGGAATAAGAATACTGATTTATCTCTGTAAACTGTTAAAAAAGCAGATGAAGACTTTAGGTAACATTGCTGCTGAGGAATAGAAAGTTACAATATACTTTATCTGAGCCAGATAACCATTCTATTTTCTATACTTTTTTATTAGACATAAATCAATAATTTGAGAAAATATTAATATTTAATAAATGTTAAATGAAATCTGCAACAGTTTCATGGTAACTGGACCCATTGTGATGAATTTTTCACTTTATTAAACAGTTTAGAATACATTATTTAATTAGGCTACAGGGATTTTTCTTCTCTTTTTGTACTGAATTAAAAAATCCTTATGAGATTGTGGCTTCTACGAAAATGAAGCAAATAAATTTATTAGCTTGGAGTGACAAATTTGGTAAACTCACTGTGTTCACTTCCTTTTATTTTACTGAAAACCAAACATGTCACAGTCCCCCATTCAAATCACAAAAAAATAGAGAAAAGGAACAATTAGTAATGGGAAAATGTTTACAAATCTTACTGTAAAGTATGATTTGGACCTCTTTGTATTACAGCTTTCATACAGCTGCATTATGGTGCAATAAAGATGGAAATAACTTATGTTTTGAGAAGGATGTTGGTTCAACACAAGTCTATACATTACCAGAATCTGATGGTTTCATTTCTTGAAGCCCATGGTGAACTTTTCTCCACTAAGAACCACTACAGAAATGCTCCTGTAAATATTAAAATCCTATTGACCGAAACTAAATAGACCCCACAGGGTTGCTCACTTGTGACTAATTTACTTTGAAGATTTTTCATTAGTCATTTTTCTGCTGGCCCCTGTAGTAGCCTTCCTGTACTTCTTGGTTTGTTTTTCTTGGGTGGGAATTTTATTTGGGTTTTCTTAATGGAGAAACATAACTGGAAAATAGAACTGATCACAGTGTTACCTTTTTATCTTGGCCATGTGGTGTTAGAACTTTGAGCTATGATGCCTGAATAACATGCCAAGAGCATCTGGAGCCCTGACCTGTTAGCCAACTATCTGGGTACTGCTAGAGTAAAGATTGATAAAAAATATATTAACCAGAGGAGCGATTTCAGTTTCAGTTTCTCTCTGATGCTGTGACTCACAGGATTTCTGAAGTAAATGGGTGCAATCGTCATCTTTTGGTAAGGAGACTGTTTCAAACAAGATTAGATCATTATCAGCACACTGAAATACATTGCCTTAGGTTGAATTGTGAGACACACAAAATAAACCCCACAGCCCCAGCTCAATAATCAAGGATCCAGAATAACCAAAAAAACACTCATTACTGCTCTAAACAGAGTAAGGGACTCAAATGAATATAATCTCTCACTTTATAATCTAGGTTTCTCCAGTATGTCATGTCAGTTATGTACTCTATTTGCCAAGACTGCACAGCACTGGCTCTGTGTGTGTGTCTACACATGCACACAAGTGTGAAGTAACAATATATAACAGCTCCTATGATATGCAATGTCATTTCTATTTCTATATAACATTTTATAATACCAGGTAAGAAAAGTTCATGCTCCAGAATTGTTATATAACAAGTTTTTTGTCTTTTAAAAGCCTTGTAATTAGCCTTCAGGAAAAATCTGTATTTACATGGAAATAACACACTGAGGCAGCAGGATCTTCTGTTCCTTGCAACGGCCCCAGTGGGCCTGTTAGTGCCTATAAAAGATGTCTCAGATAGGCAGATAAAGGAATACAAATTAAGAACTTGTTTTCACAAAGATCCCAAGTTACAGAAACAGGACTGGCATCACACTAGCAAAGGAATAAGAAATGAATGGGTTCTGGGTGCCCTAAAAAATAACTGAACCCATGAAAAGGAATGAGAAAAACCAAAATGCTGAAAAAAAAGCTGAAACTTCCCCTCCCAGATTGCTGAAAATGAAGTGTGAATTATCTCCATACTCTTTTAAATCTTGCTTTCTGTTTGCTGCTGGTTATGGGAAAGAAGCACAAGGTGTTCCAGCTTTACCATGCAGTGGTGTTTTTCTGCAGGCATCAGGTGCATCTGAGTAAGCAGAGCTATTTTTACATGCCCAGCCGCCTCACAAAGCCATCGCGTAAGTGCAGAGTCATGCACAGCACCCAGGGGAACCACCCCTCTTGGTTTGCAGCGTCACACACAGAGGAAGGCACACAAACTGCATCCTATAGATTTTCACAAGTTTGTGACAAAGTCTCAGTTTCAGACTCTCCCCTTACCCATAACAAAATGTTCTCAGAAATTTTCCTACAGTTGCACTGACAAGGTTAAGTCCAGATTCAGTCAGATTTCTTTTGGTGGCAAGAAAATTTCAGAAAGTCCCAAGTACAGCCATGACAGCCACTTTCCTGGCTGACACACCAAGGAATGCACTGGGGACCTCCAGAACAAGAAACGTGACAGTCCTGAGCACTGAACCCTGATAATACAAACTGCAGTGCTACAACTTCTGCTTTTCCTTGTTTGGCACAAAGACTCGAGTACTCGCTGTACCTTGTATGTATGTACAACCAGAAACAAAGTTCAGAATTACGCAAACTGAAAGAAATCAGTGCTACATTCTACAGCTCTAACATGCTTCGTTTTCCTAGGAGGTGTCTAGGAAGTGTTGTGCTATTAAATGGCCTGGCTGTTGTGTGTAAATCAATATCAAACAAGAAGAGATACTCAACTAAACATTAACACAGCCCAGAGATGAATATTTAAGTCAAGTGTGTATCCAAGTGGAGATGTTCTTCCCAGAGGTCTGCTAAGGGGGCCTGGCATCATTTATGCCAGTATGTGCATGTGCCAGGATGTCACTGCAAATATTCTGACCTCCTGACATAAGCTTGTTGATGTTTGACACCACCTTTTAGAATTTTGAGTGGAAACACCTGAAGAGTGACAGCGATCAGTGTTGCTGAACCTTTCAGTATGAACAGGCTAACCATTTTCAAGCCTATGGCAAAATTTCAACTTCCACTTCTTCCAAGTACAATGCAGCATGCAAACTTTAAACAAAAAACAACAGCAGGCATGTGGCAAGTAAAATAACCCTAGCTTTCCTCGGGGAAAATAAAATAGAGCTAATGCCCTAAGGTCCTTTTAATTACTCTGTGCTTTTAGCAGCAGCTCAGACAATGTGATAAGCAAGCTGCTTATGGAGATTTGAGGATTTATTTCATTATGAAGTTTGAATCCTCCTGGACTCTGATCTCTGCTATCCAGTGTGCTAATGAGCTCCTGGGTGTCTTTTCAGGGTAAAACAGCTACATCTTCAAGAGCACAGTAAGGGGACTTCTGCTCAATGGTCAGACAATATGCACAGGACTCAGTTGAGGTTTTTGCTCTTCTAGCTAGCCTCACCAGCAGCCTTCCATGAAGGAGGAGATTTATGCCCAAACCCATGTGCCAGGGCATGTGTTATATGCTTCAGGCTATTAACACAAAAATCTGGAGGATACAGAGCAGTACTTCCATTATTTTGGGTACCTTAACAAAACAAGGGGGACAGCAAGGCAGGCAGGGGCAGCATCCTTACCCATGAAAGCCACGGTCCCACAAGAGTCATTCCAGAGGAACAGAGCAGCTCCCTGGGCAGGAACCAGGGACAGCCAACAGCTGGGTATTTCCTAGATGAGTCACTAGGGAGGCAGGTGAGGAGCAGTGAGGCAGGATCAGGATCAACAAGGTCCCTCTCCCAGGATCCCAGTGGTGCTCAGGCAGGGACCAAGGCTGCTGACCTGAGCTAAAAGCAGCTGCAGATGTGCTTGGTCCACCCTGCACAGGTTACATATGCAATGCTGTCTGAAATACAGAAAACTAAAAGCTCCTTGCATAGAAGCTAGGATGTGAACCAAAGGCTGGCTGTGCATATGTACAGTTTTTAAGCTGGATGCTGCATCCCACAATCTGGGAAGCAGGATACCTGCCAGCCTGATTCCATAGGCAAAAGATGTGTGAAGGGGGCCCATTCTCAACTATGTTTGTTATGACCCTGTCCTGAGGTGACTTTTGCCACTCACCATCATATTGGGTATGCTACACTTTGAAAAAAGGTATCACTTCCCCATTCTGTCACATCTCATGCTGTATTTAGCTAAACCCATCCAGTCAGTGGGCAAGCCATAGGGGCATAGTCACTGCAAGGCTGACACTGTCAGAGGGCTGAGCAGATTTATGGACATCATCAATTTCCATAAATGGAAAAGCCTGTGCACACAAGGACAGGAGCAGAGAGGAAGGCCCTTCTCCACTATCTGCCCTCATGGATGCCAAAGACTCCAAATTTCTTTGTAAGACTTAAGCCACAGCATGACAGATATGGACCAAATCAGCAACAGGCTAACTCCTTTGACAAGACTTCCAGCATCTGTGCATTAGTGAGGAACAGTTCACGAAATTCCTTGGAGCACCGACCAGCTCCAGACTGAAACAGCAGCACAACAAGCAGGGACAGCACTCCTCTGCTCCATGCAAAAGCATCTCCTCTTTCTAATATGGCCCAAGACACAAAGTGCTTCCCACACAGAGCAGCCAGGAAAGCCCTTTTATCACCATGGTTCTCTCACAATGTACAGGAAGGTCAGATTGTCAATTCCATTTGCCTCTGCCTGAGGGAATTAGACCCCTCTTGGGTAGCAGTCCACTATGTGGGCTGCTGCAGGAATAAATACACAGTGATCAGCCTGGGGATAACAGCACTTTGAATGTCATGTGCTCTGTCAGAACTACAGAAAACCTGACATGACAGGTATCACAGCTCCCTAATGGCAAAGCCATCCTGTAGCTGTTATGGAGATATGCTGGGAAATTTTCAAGGCATTGCTCTGGCAGAGACTTGTTCCATTTGGTTTATACTGCTCTGCAGGAGATGTATATCTGAGAGTTTTGCTGAGGTTGGAGACATTATTAATAAAAATGAGAAAAGGAGAGGCTGGAAAATGTCTTTCACATGTAATCTTCTAGTATAGATTGACATTAATTCATTAAATCCAGGTAAACCTGGGAAAAAGAAAAATTTTGTTTTCTGACTATTCTAAATCATTTCCTTTATTAGCAGGGGTCATGAACAAATTCTGAAATTATTATTATCAGACATTACATCTTGAAAACTGGCTATTCTTTTACAAAGTATTTTCAATGTTTTTAGCTCAAGGATTCTGTGTTTCTTTAGCTCAGCTCACAATATTTTGATATTACATGCAACTTTGAGCAAACCTCTTGGTATCTCATTGCTTGAGGTCTCCTCATTCCAAAACAGATTAAAAAAAAAAAAAAAAAAAAAAAAAAAAAAAAAAAAGCCCTTGCCTGATTTTGTTCTATTAAATGAAAATTGCAAGAGCTGTGTAAATGCCATAAAATATCAGTGTCTTCCCCCACCTCTGTTTGGGGTAACACTTGCCGTACCACTGTGGTTGGGATGGAGCTAATTTTAGTAACAGCAGCCTGAACAATGCTGTGTTCTGAGCTGTGTTCTGTGGATCTGAGACCAAAGCTGATAACAGAGCAGTGCTTTAGCTCTTGCTGAACAGTGCTTGCACAGCCTCAAGGCCTCCCCTGCTTCTCTCTCTGCCCCCCAGGAGAAGGCTGAGGTGGGCAGAAGGGAGAGGCCACGGCCAGGAGAGCCCCACAGTGACCCGAGAGATTTTCCGTGTTATTGAACGCCGTGCTCAGCCGTAAAACTGGGGGTGGTGGTGGTGTGTCAAAACAAGCCATTACTCAGAGGTCATCTGGCCATTGGCTGCTGGTGGGAGGTGGTGAGTGACGCCTTCTCATCAGTTGTTTGGTTTCTTTTTCTTTTCTCTTTTACTAAACCCTCCTTACCCCAGCACACGTTTTTCTTGCATTTTCCCCT